GATGACACGACAGTGTCCAATTTGTAAGTCGCTCTGGATAAGAGCGTCTGCTAAATGACGTAAATGTAAATGTAATGTGTTAGGCCTGATCACCGACGGCGATGAGAGACTTGGCACCGCCCTCGACCACAAAGTGCTACAGAGGGTGGTGTGGACGAACCAGTACATCACTGGGGCCGAGCTCCCTGCCATCCAGGACCTCTATATCAGGCGGTGTCAGAGGAAGGCCCGAAACATTGCCAATGACTTCAGCCACCCAAGCCATAGACTGTTCACTCTGCTGCCGTCCGGCAAACGGTACCGGAGCATTGGCTCTCAGACCAACAGGCTCCGAGACAGCTTCTACCCCCAAGTCAGAAGACTGCTAAATAGCAATAAGACTTCTAAATAGTTAATTAAATGGTTACCCATTCTATCTGCATTGACCCTATCTTGCACTGACGCTATGCACACTCACAAGACTATACAGTATATACACTATATATACACTCACACACACTACACTGACACTCACACAAAACCACACACATTCACATACACTACATACACACACATACGTTTGTCTATGGAGATTGCATGGCGGTGTTCTCGATTTTATACACCTGTCTGCAACGGGTGTGGCTGAAATAGCCGAATTCACTAATTTGAAGGGGTGTCCACATACTTGTGTATATATAGTGTATCTGCCTCAAATACCTCGTACCCCTGCACAGTGATATGGTACTGGTACTGCCTGTATATAGCTTCATTCTTGTGTATTTTATTCCTTTTGTGTTACTATTTTTATTTGTATTATTTTATATCATTATTATTTGTTTTATACTTTTTTTACTCTGCATCGTTGGGAAGAGCTCTCTTCTCTATTGTTGAAGCATACCAAAATCGTTAGCGTGAAGCTGTTAAGAAATAAATAAAAAATATACAGTGCAAAGCATGTTATGGTGATAGCCATGGACCATGGTTAAAGTAAATAATGATTGAAAGTTCATGATAAAAAATCTAATGAAGCTGTGTGAAATTCAAATTAAAAACCTACATGGAAAAGGTTAATGATTAAATGTGTTCCTAAGAGGACTGCCATTCACTGTTTTGTCGGTCATGTTATCCTCAATTGTTATGACTGACAGACCCAGACCAATCGTTCAACATAGATAGTGCAGAGGTGCTGTCACACAGTAGCTAGCTAACTAACAGCTAAGTCCTTGGCCACATGGAACACACAATCCTGTAATTTTTGTCTCAATTACAGGGGGAGGAAAATCACTGGAGAACAAGCTCAGCTTTATCATGGATGACACTATCGGTGGTGAGGGGGGAGAATTGTTCAAATTCATGGCTGATGAACAGAACAGGAAGTATGTTCAGTGGACCATTATTGCGTAACAAAGACATCTCCACAAGTCGTGAGTGACAACTAGCAAAGGAAGCAGCAGAACCATGCAACCAACCCTGATGATTTAAACATAGTCTTGTCGCACGAAATGACGGAGTCACAAAGAGTCACCTAATTAAATCAATCAAAATGGCCGCTAAAAATAAACACGAGAAGAACAACCGTGAATCTAACACTAGGATCCAATGAAGGGTCATGTGAGCTCTAAATGAACACCGGTGATGTAATAGGCCTATTACCCAATTCCCTTCCAAGGTCTCCAGTTGGGAAAGAGAGGAGAGATATTGGAGTCTGTTAGTAGACTCATGCTTGAAGTGACTTGATGTTGATTCCCTTCATTCACATCCTGTGGATGCTCGTAATGTCTTAATGCCTTTCGTGCTGCCACAGAATGGAGCATTACAGGCCTATCAAGCCTGCCTCATTAGCTCAATGTGAGGGGGAACTGAACACCATGAACAATGTGGCGTTTGTGGGAAGAAGGTTGTGTGCTGTGCTACACAGAAGATCCAATTTAAAGGAAGGTTTAGCGTCAAACCTATTTGTGACAAGTTGACTCTGAATAGGGGCCTTTTAAGCCTTGTTCACACCGCAGGCCTTAATGCTCAAACCAATTTTGTTTTCAAATCCGTTTTGGAATATTGACTGTCCACAGCAAGTTACCAAATCAGATTTGTGTGTGTTCAGACAGAAGTCATTTGCTGACATGGCTACGCTAGTTGTCATAGTAACAATGTGTGTGTGTGGTGTGGTGTAGGCTGATTGGTGGTGGTGCTCGTACTTTCTATCACTCAGTAGTTATGTAGCAAGTTAAAGTGACAGCAATGCCTGCCATGGATGTTCCCCAGTTGTTTTGAATGTTCTAAATCATAGTTTAAGAACACTTAAAGCATTCTTACACTATGGAGGTGGTTTGAAATGTGGCTTGAAATATCTGATTCCATGTGATTTCTGGCTGTTCAGACTGCAGGAAAAAAGAACAGATTCGAGTAGTCACTTCAAACTGCCAATGTGAACAAGGCTTTAGTTTTCCAACACATAAGGGCATGACATTTTCTCAAGATGCTGATCCAAGGTCAGTTTTGCGTTTTCTCACCTCATGGTTATGATTTTGGTAAGCTGATGCTAGATCTGTGCCTATGGCTAACTTCTACATGGAGCTTGCCATACACAAAGTCCTCTACAGAAGTACATGATCAATAGGTAGATTCATAAACAACAAGACATAGCCTACAGTGTGATCTCACCTCTATTTGTGGACACTGATGACAGTCTTTATGGCATTAGATAAGATATAACAACATAAATGCTTTTACGTAATATCCCTAATAGGTAATGCTTCATAAAGGTGTAAATGAGTTAATACCAATACAGCTTCCCTGAGCAAAATCGAATTAATACTAACACTCATTAAAGACAATGTACATTGGATTGAAATATATCTATTTATATTGATTGGAATGTTATTCATGAAAAGGAGTTTTCAGTATTTCCATACATCCCCTTACTTATTTTCAATCGACAAACGGTTTGTATTTGGATATGTACTAATAGTAAGAGTATGGCAGTGGGTCAGATCATAGTACAAACATACGTAACAAACAGGTACAGCAGTTCCCTCCAATACAAAGACCACAGAGATAGATAGATAGATAGATAGATAGATAGATAGATAGATGAGTATCACATGACAGTTGGAGAGAAGGATTAGTGTTGCAAGATTCTAGTAAACTTACCAAAATTCCCAGGTTTTAGAAAAAGGTACTATCTAGAACCTAAAAGGGTTCTTCAGCTGTCCCCATATGTGAACCTGTCAGGACTTCCGCCGAGGCTGCCTCCCCTCCTTGTTCGGGCAGGTTTCGGCGTTGGTCGTCACCGGCTTACTAGCTGCTGCCGATCCATTTATCATCCCTCCACTTGTCTTCTCTAATTAATCACACACACCTGGTTCTTATCCCCAATTAGTCATTGTATAAGTGTTCCCTCTGCTTCCTTGTCTGTGTGGGTGATTGTTTGTAGTGAGCTGTGTGTAGCTCGGTTGAGCTACCCTTACCTTGTTGTTGCCAGGGTAGATATTTCCCCTGTGCCTGAGTTGTCGCATGCTTGCGCAACTGTTTATCGACGGAATAAACTTTTGGATGGGTATTACTCTCCTGCGCCTGACTTCTATCACACGCATCACAGAACCCTTTGAATAACCCTTTTTAGTTCCAGGTAGAACCCTTTTGGGATTAATGTATATTGAACAAAAATATAAACGCAACATGCAACAATTTCAACGATTTTATTGAGTTAGAGTTCATATAAGGAAATCAGTGAATTGAAATAAATGAATTAGGTCCTAATCTATGGATTTCACATGAATGGGGCGAAGCCATGGGTTGGCCTGGGAGGGCATAGGCCCACTCACTTGGGAGCCAGGCCCACCCACTGGGGAGCCAGGCCCAGCCAATCAGAATGAGTTTTTCCCCACAAAAGGTTTTTATTACAGACAGAAATATTCCTCAGTTTCATCAGCCGTCTGGATGGCTGGTCGCAGATGAAGAAGCCGGATGTGGAGGTCATGGGCTGGCGTAGTTACACGTGGTCTGCAGTTGTGAGGCCGGTTGGACGTACTGCCAAATTCTCTAAAACGACATTGGAGGCGACTTATGGTAGAGAAATGAACATTAAATTCTCTAGCAACAGCTCTGGTGGACATTCCTGCAGTCAGCATGCCAATTGCACGCTCCCTCAAAACTTGAGACATCTTTGGCATTGTGTTGTTTGACAAAACTGCACATTTTAGAGTGGCCTTTTATTGTCCCCAGCACAAGGTGCGCCTGTGTAATGATCATGCTGTTTAATCAGCTTCTTGATATGCCCCACCTGTCAGGTAGATGGATTATCTTGGCAAAGGAGAAATGTTCACTAACAGGAATTTAAACAAATTTGTGCACAACCTTTTTGAGAAATAAGCTTTTTGTGCGTATGGAACATTTCTGGGATCTTTTATTTCAGCTTGTGAAACATGGGACCAATACTTTACATGTTGCGTTCACATTTTTGTTTAGTATAAAACCCTTTCCACATGGGGTTCTACATAGAACCCAAAAGGGTTCTACCTGGAACCAAAAAGGGTTCTCCTATAGGGGACAGCCGAAGAACCCTTTTGGAACCCTTTGTTCTAAGAGTGTAATCAGAATATTCAAAGTTGTTGAAAGTGTATAGCACCAGTTGCAATTGGCAAAATCAAACCCCTCCAGCGAGTTTTCATCACTTAACAACATCAAAACAACAAGATATGACAACCATTTGTTGAGGGATATGCAAAACACATTTTTTTTTGTATAACAAAAGCATTGCTACTAAAGGTCTGGGTTTCTGTAGTCTTTTTGTAAATTAACTTATAGTAGCTTTACCAAAGTTTCTCCTCCACATCCAAACAAAGACAGACTGAAATGTGTTATACGAAAGAAAAGACACACTCCATCATATGAACTATGACCTTTCAACATGGGTATTGTAGTTGCCACAATGATCCTGGATCCTGTGCTGTCCAACTGTTTGCTTTACAGTTTTGTGAAGTCTCCTGTATCCTACCAAGTTTAGAGATGCATTCCAACTCTCATACGGGAGTCGTTCTCCTGTTCACAACCTCCTTCAGATCTTTCTGGAAGCAGTTGTGGACCTGCAGGAAGCTTGTGTCACGCTCTGGACTACAGTACCCAGCTATCCCACTTTTCATAGTGTCCCTACTGAGGGCGTACATGGAGATCCCACCCATGGGCATCCCAAAGCTTGCTCCACTTCCTACGCCTGCTCCCCCTCCTCCTCCCATCTTCACCCCAACGGGTGAGGTCTCTCGGGACGGGTCGGTGGAGCGGGAACTAGAACGGGAGCGTCGCCGCCGGTAACGGTAACTAGGGATACGGGAGTAGGGCGAGCTGGACGAGGTGGTCTTGATGAACTCACGCCTCGCCCGGCACCGCGTCTCCTTGTTCTTCTCGATGTAGATGTTGACAGCGAGAACGCCGACGGACTCGGCCACGATGAAGGACAGAGCTCCGAAGTAGAAAGACCAGCCATATCCATAGCTGGCCTTATTGTCCTCGTCCTTCTTGTCGCTGGGGTCACCGGCATTACTGGAGATGTAGACGATGATGCCGATGATGTTGCTTAGACCTGAGGAGATACATAGAGAAAGAGGTAGAACTGAGAGGTGGACTTGTAGGGCTTTGCCCATATAGTAGCTTAGTGTTTTCAAAAATCTATACAGTATATGTAAACATAAATTTGTGGGTAATGTCAACTCAAAGGCAATGCTAAATATGCAGGGAATCGCCATTGCAATATTGTCAATAGCTGTGTGATGCCACCTACCTGCAGCCACAAACAGGATGCCGGCGCTGAGCAGGATGTTGTTCCTATTGCTGTAGATCCTCCCAGCCCCGGCACACAGTCCTCCCAGCAACAACAAGATGTTGCTCAGGATGGGGAAGAGGCTGGAGGCCCGCACTATACCTGTATAGTACACAGCAGTTAGGATGGTTAGCATGTTTACAATGTTAGCATGACTACAACATTAGTATGTTTAGGATGATTAGCATGTTTACAGCATTAGCACGTTTAGCATCATCACTAACTCACTATCTGTGCATTTTCTGGTGTTAATCCAATATGGATTTACAGAGAAGTGTGCTAGTACCTTTAGCATAATTGTTAATGCACCATTTTGGCTGCTATTGCATTACATGCATGTAGCCAACACATGTAAAGGACTAGAACATTTTAGCATCGTCACTAACACACAGTTTTCAAGTTTATTTTTTAAAAGTTAAATAAAACTATGACACAAGCCCTTTTTTCTTAGTTCTATAAAAATGACAGCATCGTTTTATAAATGTATTTTTGTAAGGGTGTTGCCAATACACAGCAGGCAGAGTGCGAGCAGCGGTTAGCACACCCTCTATCAGTCATACTGGAGACACCCTCTGCTTACTCACACCACTCTTAAAACACAGCTTTCAGTGGTGTAAAGTACTTAAGTAAAAATGCTATAAAGTACTACTTAAGTAGTTTTTTGAGGTATCTGTACTTTACTTTACTATTTATATTTTGGACAACATTTACTTTTACTCCACTACATTCCTAAAGAAAATAATGTACTTTTTACTCCATTGAGTTTCCCTGAAACCCAAAAGTACTCGTTACATTTTGAATGCTTAGCAGGATAGGGAACTAGTCCAATTCACACACTTATCAAGAGGAAATCCCTGGTAACCCCTACTGCATCTGATCTGGCGGACTCCCTAACTTATGTAAATTATGTCAATGTTGGAGTGTGCCCCTGTCTATCTGTAAAAAAAATAGTTTGCTTAATATAAGGAATTTTAAATTATTTATACATTTACTTTTGATACTTAAGTATATTTAAAACCAAATACTTTTAGACTTTTACTCAAGTAGTATTTTACTGGGTGACTTTCACTTTTTCTTGAGTCATTTTCTATTTACGTAACTTTACTTTTACTCAAGTATGAAAATTGGGTAATTTTTTCACCAGTGATGGCTCTATATCAACCCAGGATTTATGCCATCACAGTCTGTCTCTACATAGCTCCAATTACTCTCATGACATCATGCTATTATGGGCCAGGGCCAAGGGAGTTATGACAGATAAAGCACCCCATGTCCACTGGCTACCATTGAGTATCTATGGGCAACCATTAAGTATCTATGGGCAACCTTTGAGTATCTATGGGCATTGTGTGCTTTACACACGATGACAAAGGATGAAAAGACATCCGGATGTGATGGCGGGAGACAAGCACTTACGTAAGATGTATTCCGAGCTGTCTGTGTCATAGTTGTTATCTTCTGGGAAGTGATTGATCCGAAGACAGCTTCCTTTGTTGATTCCTGTGGAGTCAAAAGAACCACAGAAAGTCTGTTATAAAACAGTGCACACTTCACAAAGAAGGGTCGAGAAGTGGATTCCAGCTCATGCAGGTTAGTGGACATTTGAAACATGGCTAATGATTTTTTATATATACACTACCAGTTAAAACTTTGGACACACCTACTAATTCAAGGGTTTTTCTTTATTTTTACAATTTTTTTTACATTGTAGAATAATAGTGAAGACATCAAAACTATGAAATAACACATATGGAATCATGTAGTAAACAAAAAAGTGTTAAACAAATCAAAATATATTTTATATTTGAGATTCTTCAAAAAGCCACCCTTTGCCTTGATGACAGCTTTGCACACTCTTGGCATTCTCTCAACCAGCTTCACCTGGAATGCTTTTCCAAAAGTCTTGAAGGAGTTCCCACATATGCTGAGCACTTGTTGGCTGCTTTTCCTTCACTCTGCGGTCCGACTTATCCCAAACCATCTCAATTGGGTTGAGGTCAGGGGATTGTGGAGGCCAGGTCATCTGATGCAGCACTCCATCACTCTCCGTCTTGGTAAAATAGCTCTTACATAGCCTGGAGGTGTGTTGGGTCATTGTCCTGTTGAAAAACAAATGATAGTCCCACTAAGCCCAAACCAGATGGGATGGTGTAGCGCTGTAGAATGCTCTGGTAGCCATGCTGGTGAAGTGTGCCTTGAATTCTAAATAAATCACAGACAGTATCACCAGCAAAGCACCCCCACACCATAACACCTCCTCCTCCATGCTTTACGGTGGGAAATACACATGCGGAGATCATCCGTTCACCCACACCCCGTCTCACAAAGACACGGCGGTCGGAACCAAAAATCTCCAATTTGGACTCCAGACCAAAGGAGACATTTCCACCGGTCTAATGTCCATTGCTCGTGTTTCTTGGCCCAAGCAGGTCTCTTCTTATTATTGGTGTCATTTAGTAGTGGTTTCTTTGCAGCAATTCGACCATGAAGGCCTGATTCACACAGTCCCCTCTGAACAGTTGATGTTGAGATGTGTCTTGTTACTTGAACTCTGTGAAGCATTTATTTGGGCTGCAATTTCTGAGGCTGGTAACTTTAATGAACTTATCCTCTGCAGCAGAGGTAACTCTGGGTCTTCAATTCCTGTGGTGGTCCTCATGAGAGCCAGTTTCATCATAGCGCTTGATGGTTTTTGTGACTGCACTTGAAGAAACTTTCAAAGTTCTTGAAGTTTTCCGTATTGACTGACCTTCATGTCTTAAAGTAATGATGTTCTTGCCATAATATGGACTTGGTCTTTTACCAAATAGAGCTATCTTCTGTATACCAACCCTACCTTGTCACAACACAACTGATTGGCTCAAACGCATTAAGAAGGAAAGAAATTCAACAAATTAACTTTTAACAAGGCACACCTGTTCATTGAAATGCATTCCAGGTGACTACCTCATGAAGCTGGTTGAGAGAATGCCAAGAGTGTGCAAAGCTGTCATCAAGGCAAAGGGTGTCTATTTGAAGAATCTCAAATATAAAATACATTTTGATTTGTTTAATAATTCATGATTCCATATGTGTTATTTCATAGTTTTGATGTCTTCACTATTATTCTACAATGTAGAAAATAGTAAAAATAAAGAAAAACCCTTGAATGAGTAGGTGTTTCCAAACTTTTGACTGGTACTGTATGTGTTAACTCCAATAGAGCATAGATTCAGATTGTTTAATAGTCACATGTACAGGGTTGCAGGTGTGATTGCACTGTACAGTGAAAATCTTAGGCTTCGAACTCCAACATGCAGGGGAGCAGCAGGATAAATAATGTCCATAGGGGGCGTAGCGGGTAAGGTAAGTGAGAGTTGAGAGAACACTATACAGCAACACTATACTAATTCAACAATGGTTATACATGAACAATGTCTGCACATTAGAAAAATATATTATGCCTCATGACATGTTACAGTGGAAGTGAAGCTAAAATGGTTCCCAATACTCAATGCACTTCTGTGTTGAGCTGTAAAGGCACTCACTAAGTCTTAGAGATTGCATATTTACCGTACATTGGGGTTGCTTAATTGTCATAATTAAAAATGACAATACAAATTGATTGCCAAACAAGAGATGACTATTATAATGCTGATTATTTTGTTGTTACCCCACTGATTTTCATACAAAACAAATGATATAACCTGTGAATTATTCATTTATTTAAAAAGGATTGTCAATCTGCAAGGGACATTTTCTATCACTGCTAGGAAATTAGGTATTCTAGTGGTTAGAGTGTACACAGTTAGACAGTCCATTTTCAATATACACATCCCACCACTAGGGGCAGCAGCGGCCAGGCTAGGTCCTTTTAAGTGCCAACAGGGTTAAGAAAGAGTGATTGCTCACAGGCAGGGGTTGGAACCTGCCTGTTCCAACCTGCAAAATAAAGTTCTGAACCGGTTCGACCCCCCAAAAAGTAACGGTTTATATTCCTCCTTTCTGTTCCTTTTTAAACCTCTGAAATGTTTACATTTAGTTCAACATTAAATTACTTTAGCAGTCTTATGGCTTGGGGGGTAGAAGCTGTAAAATTAACATTATTAACTGGTTCCCATGCTTTTAAAATAACGGTTCTGTTCCGGCACAGTATAGATCACTTTCGTTCCCGGTTCTGATTCTGTTACTACAAATGTTTTGTTGTTTTCTGGTTTTCTGTTCTGAACCGGTTCCAACCCTTGCTTACAGGTGCAAGTGATTGACAGGCAATGGTGGAGTGAGAGGTAAATTGAGTAGCCTCCCATCCCGGAAGCATTTTCCCGTGTTTGCTTGGACACTTTTCATTTGATATGCCCATGTGTGAATTTAAGTATGCTCCCTCTAATTCTCTCTCTCTCCCTCTCTCCTTCCCCTCCCTCTCTACCGCACCTGCTGTCTCGACCTCTGAATGCTCGGCTATGAAAAGCCAACTGACATTTACATTTACATTTTACATTTGAAATGTAAATTTACTCCTGAGGTACTGACCTGTTGCACCCTCTACAACCACTGTGATTATTATTTGACCCTGCTGGTCATCTACGAACATTTAATCATCTTGAAGAACAATCTGGCCTTAAATGGCCATGTACTCCTATAATTTCCACCCGGCACAGTCAGAAGAGGACTGGCCACCACTCAGAGCCTGGTTCCTCTCCAGGTTTCTTCCTAGGTTCCTGCCTTTCTAGGGAGTTTTTCCTAGCCACCTTGCTTCTACATCTGCATTGCTTGCTGTTTGGGGTTTTAGGCTGGGTTTCTGTATATAGCATTTTGTGACATCTGCTGATGTAAAAAGGGCTTTATAAATACATTTGATTGATTGATTGTTTCTTTTCATGAACATTGATAACCTGCTTGGGCTGACGGACCAAGCTTACCCTGGACCCTGCCGAGTACACTGTCTGCCATAAGGACACATTCATTGCTTAACTGACTTCTCACATGAAATGCACACATTTATATCAGATTATGGACAACTTAGGTAGACCTAGGACCCTAGACGTAGCGAGCTTAGTTTCACCACCATATTTGAAACCAACTGAGGACAGGAACGTCAGTCTGCACACCCACAAAAGAGTTCTGATGTTTTTCAGCCCTAAGGCACCTTCCATTCAAAGAGTTTGACTCTTGGTTAAGAAACTGTTCTCTGCACTTTTAAGAGAATAAAACATGGGGGTGACATGAATATTGAAACGTTTCTCACTTTCCATTGAAATTGCTGCCTCACCCAGAGGTTGGGAACTCAAGTCAAGTATGCGAATGAACAGGGACTTACTTCCCGCTCTGACTTAATTCACTCTAAAACAGATATCAATCATTTATGAGAGACGATAGTAATGTAAACATGTCTTTTAAGTGGTTTATTGGTCTGTGTGTGGTGATTCTATTTCTATGATTGGTATCTCCAAGACACTGCTGATTTTTATTCTTCCCCTCTAATCAGGAACTGATTCAGGACACCGGGTGAGTGGAATCTATGGCCAATCAGTGACTTTAATTGGCTACCCGGACTACTGCATTGACACTTTTTTGCACTGACTCTATGCACACTCACTGGACTCTACCCCCACATTCACACATGCTTACACTGACACTCCAACACACACTACATATGCTCACACAAACAAAACACACTCTCCACATACGCTGCTGCTACTCTGTTTATTATCTATCCTGATTGCCTAGTCACTTTTACCCCTACCTACAGTACATGTACATATTACCTCAACTACCTCATACCCATGCACATTGACTCGATACCAGGACTCCTTGTATATAGCATCATTATTGTTATTTATAGTGTTACTATTTTATATTTTTATTAGCTAATTTTCTTACTTTTTAACTATGCGTTGTTGGGAAAGGGTTCGTAAGTAAGCATTTTGCGGTAAAGTCTACACCTGTTGCATTCGGCGCATGTGACAAATACAATTTTATTTTAAACAATCAAAACTAGTACCATGGAAAAGGGAAACCAGCAGTAGTCTTGGACCTGCAGGCTCTGAGGTGAGTACCCCCAATAGCAGTCTGCAGTCATGCCATAAATGTGAACTTTTAAAGACAATTTCCCTGATGTTCATAGATGTGACATTCACAGTAAACGATGTGGATGTCAGCTCAGGTGTAAATTACATTTAAAAGTCAAGTGCAATGCGTTTGTCGACAATGTGTCTTTGCTTGAATCCCGGCCAAGCTGATCTCAAATACAGTGAGGGAAAAAAGTATTTGATCCCCTGCTGATTTTGTATGTTTGCCCACTGACAAAGAAATTATCAGTCTATAATTTTAATGGTAGGTTTATTTGAACAGTGAGAGACAGAATAACAACAAAAAAATCCAGAAAAATGCATGTAAACATTTTTATAAATTGATTTGCATTTTAATGAGGGAAATAAGTATTTGACCCCTCTGCAAAACATGACTTAGTACTTGGTGGCAAAACCCTTGTTGGCAATCACAGAGGTCAGACGTTTCTTGTAGTTGGCCACCAGGTTTGCACACATCTCAGGAGGGATTTTGTCCCACTCCTGTTTACAATGTTGACATCAGCCAACCGCTCGCCCACACGACGCCATCTGCCCAGTACAGTTTAAACCGGAATTCATCCATGAAGAGCACACTTCTCCAGCATGCTAGTGGCCATTCAAGGTGAGCATTTGACCACTAAAGTCGGTTACGACGCCGAACTGCAGTCAGGTCAAGACCCTGGTGAGGACGACGAGAACGCAGATGAGCTTCCCTGAGACGGTTTCTGACAGTTTGTGCAGAAATTATTCGGTTGTGCAAACCCACAGTTTCATCAGCTGTCCGGGTGGCTGGTCTCAGACAATCCCGCAGGTGAAGAAGCCGGAAGTGGAGGTCCTGGGCTTGTGTGGTTACATGTGGTCTGCGGTTGTGAGGCCGGTTGGATGTACTGCTAAATTCTCTAAAACTACATAGTAGAGAAATGAACATTCAATTCTCTGGCAAAAGCTCTGGTGGACATTCCTGCAGTCAGCATGCCAATTGCACACTCCCTCAAAACTTGAGACATCTGTGGTGTTGTGTGACAAAACTGCACATTTTATTGGCCTTTTATTGTCCCCAGCACAAGCTGCACATGTGTAATGATCATGCTGTTTAATCAGCTTCTTAATATGCCACACCTGTCAGGTGGATGGATTATCTTGGCAAAGGAGAAATGCTCACTAACAAGGATGTAAACAAATTTGTGCACAGAATTTGAGGGAAAGAAGCTTTTTGTACGTATGGAAAAATTTCTGGGATCTTTTTATTTCAGCTCATGAAACATGGGAACAACACTTTACATGTTGCATTTATATTTTAGTTCAGTATAGAATAGGCTATGCCTACTGCAGAAAATAACTGATTTGCTCATATCCAAGGCCTACCTGTCATTTGGCAGGAGGAATGTAGTAGTATGTCCAGAATATAAATGCATATTGATCTGCATATCATTGTGGCAGTAAGGGGAAAAAACACACTATATGAAATCACCTTTAGCTTACTCTTCAGATAACTTTACACCATAGGCTGTATATTACACACATATTTACTCTACCTCTCGCCCTCTCTCTTTCACTTACTCCCTCTCTCACACACATCCTCTCTCTCTTACACACACAGACTCACATCACTCTCTTGACATGAATTGGAAATGAGTTGTAGCTCAAAGTTCTAACAAAACCCTAAGGAGGTATCGCTCGGCCTATAGAAGTCTCTATGTGCATATCAGGTAAGCATACAGATTCATGATTTAGAGGGAAATATAATTAGCATGTGTTCTGATGTACGCTGTAGCGTTGGATACAGGGCAGTACTCTGAATCTCTTATGGTCTCACTCACACACACACACACACACACACACACACACACACACACTGCTCCCAAAGTTAGGCACCAAACTGAATTTAAGGAACACCAGAAAAATATAGATTTTTGATTAAGATATAGCTTAGAATTACAGTACCAGTCAAAAGTTTGGACACACCTTCTCATTCAAGGGTTTTTCTTTATTTTTACTATTTTCTACATTGTAGAATAATAGTGAAGACATCAACTATGAAATAACACATATGGAATCATGTAGTAAACAAAAAAGTGTTCAACAAATCAAAATATATTTTAAATTTGAGATTCTTCAAAGTAGCCACCCTTGATGACAGCTTTGCACACTCTTGGCATTCTCTCAACCAGCTTCATGAGGTAGTCACCTGAAATGCATTTCAATTAACAGGTGTGCCTTGTTAAAAGTTAATTTGTGGAATTTCTTTCCTTCTTAATGCGTTTGAGCCAATCCGTTGTGTTGTGACAAGGTAGGGTTGGTATACAGAAGATAGCCCTACTTGGTAAAAAGATCAAGTCCATATTATGGTAAGAACAGCTCAAATAAGCAAAGAGAAACTACAGTCCATCATTACTTTCATGGTCCAATTGCTGCAAAGAAACCACTACTAAAGGACACTGATAAGAAAAATTGATTTGCTTGGGCCAAGAAACACAAGCAATGGACATTAGACTGGTGGAAATCTGTCCTT